TAGATAGATAGATAGATAGATAGAGATAGATAGGATAGGATAGGATAGGATAGGATAGGAATAGATAGATAGATAGATAGATAGATAGATAGATGTATCTGACATATAGTCTGAGAACTCTCTCCGACGTATATTCTGCAATTCTATCTGACATCTTCATTTAATCTGATACAGTATATATTCCGACAAATAATTTAATATATAGTTTGACATATTTTCTGACATTCTTTCTCGCATTTTGCCTGGCATATCCTGGCATTCTATCTGGCATTCTATCTGGCATTCTATCTGGCACTAATCTAGCATCCTATCTGATATACTGTTCCGACAAATATTCTCACATATTCTGACATTGTTCTAACATTCTATGTGGCATTTGATCTGGCATTCGATTCTATGTGACGTATATTCTGACATAAATTCAGACATTCTATCATACATTAGATATATTCTGGCACTTTATTTGACTCATATTCTAACTATCCGGACCTAGAGTTGGAAGTTGGAGAATGATGTCTTGTTGGGCGGTGCAGTAAACACATTGATCACTTTGTACTTGCAGCAGCATACCTCCTGTGGTGCCAAGACTCTTAGGATATTCATAATATATTATATGTTCATACATAAATATTCTTTTCATGCTAGAGATCTCAATTGACTCCGCTGACGAAGTTTCTAAGAGAGGAGATGGGCTCAATGTGGGCCTGAAAATAGGGAACCCTGTAAACCCAATGGATTATTCTCATTCTCCCCATTTTTTATCGGATTTTAATGGGATTTTTATTAAATGGGTATGCTGGCTTTTACCCAATGAAACTGGTCGAGCGGAGCCCAGCTTCAAGGGAAAAATCCCTTCGCCTGGCTCTTGCCTTTGGGTCGGAGAGCACCTGCTGCGGACTCAGCGGTTGACACAACTCAGCTGATCTTTCTGTGTCTGAGGATAGGTCACAACTCGACAAATCTCAACAAATCTGAAGTGATGATCCATGGCACTCTAGTCACCTCTGGTAGTTTTGAGCAAACGATTGAAGCAATTGTCAGTTTGAAAAACGCAAAACAAGTATTCACAATGAAAGCGGAAGCATCCCATCCAAGTCCGCCAAAGAGAAATGCTACAACAAATCTATCAACAGTTTATCAATGTTTAGCAGCATTCCATGTGATCACTTGACATCAATTGACCGCGACTGATGGCCAAGATTGGCTGATGATTGGTTTGGGGGTCATGCTACCCTTTGCAATATATGTATAATATACTGTATATATATATATTATTTATTTAAATTAGATCACTATTATCTATGAACTTGGAATCCCAATGAAGACCACACACTTTTTGGGGATTTAAGAATTGGTTTCCGATTGTCGGTTATTTTCATCCGACGATATTACACTGAATATATCCGATATCCAATGATATGTTTTTTCAGAAGATATCCCTGTATTATCAGAAATTTATCCAAGAGATTTTAGTTCCACTGGGGCAATACAACGCTCATTTGAAACGTTGAGATATTAGTTGGAATTATATTTTCACTATTTTCTCTTCTATCATCTTCTATCTACTGTATATATAATATGTTCGAATATCGATTGTATCCTATCAGATCATTACTATATAAACATATAAACATAAGGACATAATAATAATAAGGGATTATAATTCGCTGAGAATAGTATACTATAGTAACAATAACACTATATATCTTACTACATAACATAGATGTATATGTATATATATATACACATGTGTATATATATATAAATACACATATTTGTCCATTGTTATAACCCCCATGTCAGAAACATCCACCTACTGCAGGTGGTCAGCTTTGATGCAATCTTTGCACAGAAGGTGCTGCCAGGTGCCGCCATGGCATGTTTTCCCATGACTAGAGGAAACCATGGCAGGTAAACCTGAAGGCCCTAAGGAATTCGATCATGTTGATCCATGTTGATCGATAGCCGGTTTTGCTTTGGATGAATCATGTTAGTGATGACCTTTGCTGTTCTAAACATGCAGATGTGACCCCTGCAACGGATGCATTTGCTGCAACGAATCGCTGCAACCAATGTGGGCTCTGCAACGAGTTGCTTTCTTTTGGCCAGCTATTTGCCATCAGCAGAACAAGACAATCTGGGGCCATAGATGATGAGATATGATACATTTAATTGGGAACTACTATAGGCCAGCTTGAAGTATCAGTTTGACTCATGGACTCATAGTATACAACACTACGGCATACACGTAGTGCATATTAACTATTAGCTATACTTGTAGATATGTACATTTCTCATTTCTATGTAATGTGTATACTACACCACATACATTCTTTATCATTCTTTCACATGTGAGAGAATATGCATTGTCAATTCCAGGCTGCTAGCAAGTCAAGAGGTTGCCATAGACGCAAGAGCATTTTGCCACGATGGTGAGCTCAGGCTGCAGTGTGGCAACGGCCTTTTACACCCTGCCGATTTTGTCCTGCTCGTTTTATAGCATTCTGTGCATTCTGAATCTCAAATTGAGTCTTCTGCGACGACTTGGGCCATTTCTTCCCTTCCAAATTGATGCCAAGGGTGCCACACTAGCCACACCCAAAGAGGCCAAGGATGGTAAGGATGCCAAGGCTGTTGAGGCTTCGGACTCAGCCCCGGCTGCGGGTGAAAGCTCGCACTCGCCGCAATCGTCACCGGGCTTGGCGTGGCCAGTGTGGTCCATTGACTTTGCCAAGCCCTCCATCGGTTTGTTTCTTTGGTGCCTCTTTCCTATCATGGCCTATGGAGTGATTCGTGGTCTCAGTGATTGCGAACAATTTGAGTTGATTTGCTGGAAAGTAGAAGATCAAACCACCTCATCTCATGCCCGCAATCTGCTTCACTTGCTGACAATCAGCATTTTGTCGGCCTGGCTATGCAGAGTTCCTCCAAGAAGACGGGATGGTGCTGTGTTTGCAGCTGTGGCAGTTTGTGAGTTTCTGATCAACAAGTTTTTTTGGCAAAACTGCGAGGAATTTTTGGCTCACAGCGTTTCTTCTGGCAGCACCTTTGGTGTTTTCGATGTCTTTATTGCAGTGTCGACCTTGGTATCCCTCCTCATGCTGATTTGTGATGGTCTCCCTTGTTTGCGGCGGCTAATACAAACAGTCACCAAGACAGCAGCGGCCGGTGAGCAGAATCTGCATTTGTTGAGTCGCAGTGGGCAGCGAAATTATCTCCTGTATTGGGGCTTCATTGTTTTTTTCCATGCTGTGCTGATCATGGCTTTCCCAAATGACCTGCACCTCCACCATTACTGGGGAGGCATTGTGATGGCAACCTTTTGCATCTTTCAGACGCCCTTGTCGAGACTTCTGCTACTGAAGGGGGTCGCTGGGGCCATGACTAAGCAACTTCTTTGAGGTTTGTTCAAGGTTTGTAGAGGCATGGGGATCTCCGCTTAAGCGGCTTAAGGTTGTTTCATGTTGTTTCTCTGGGTACGAAATGGTACGAAAGGCTGTGAAGGATGTACAGTAATCATCAGTAACCTGACATGTTCAAACATGACCAGCCATCCATGCCAGGTTATGATGGCTATCGATGGTATTGGAGTCTGGGGTGCAGATTCCATTGTGGGCGAGGATGATGGTGGAATCACAGAAGGTGATGCCGATCTCAGGTTGATGCTTTGTATCCTGGTGGTTTTGGCCTTCATGCTAGCGCTTGGCCTCAATGTTTATCGCGATCCACGCATCAGGGCGCTGACAGGCCTCGCGCATGCGAAGAATCCTGCATTGGATACGGAATGAACGTATGTAAAACAACGACTATGCACACCTCCAAGAATGCAGCAAGAACTCGTGATTGGCAGGCCGAGGGCTTCAAGGGCTCGTAGCGGTCACCTTGCCATTGAAGATTGGCTTTTTGAACTGCTCCCAGCGATCAAACAGCTTGGGGTTGATCCCTTTGTCGCAACATGTGGCAACATTCGAAGAGCATGGGGCCTTCGAGATTATCACAGGCATCAATTTGTTCTCCCAATTTTTTTTGCGAGTTGCCACATGAAGTATCTTCTGGTAGCTAACTTGGAAGTGGAAAAGATGCTACATATTTCACATAAAAGTCGGCTAAAGCCAGAGGATGTTCGTGGATTTTCTTAGAATTTCTATTTCCATCTACTTCCATCCATTTCCAGGTTAGTTACCCAGAAAGTGCTAGTACCTCGACATCCTCGACCAAACACGTCAATGACATAGTGGGTGCCCCCATCCCAAAGGAATGGGCCACTCTCTGTGAACTTGGCAAAAGAATCAAAAGGAGCCCTCGGGAAACGCTTGAGTGCCCAGTGGGTACCAGCCTGTATCGGTTAGTAACAGTTTTTGAGCGATTCCTATAAGTGAATATTAACAGTCGTACAATAATGAATATGTAGTTTCCATTCACACTGATGCTCTGTAAGGGTACAACGGCAGTCGTAGCACCAATTCATCACGAGGGATGTGTTGCGATTAGAAGATGCGGGCACTAATGGCAGTCATGCCAGTGGTTCATACTGTTGGTGTCTCTGGGGGTTTGCATGGCCTTGAGCCATGGAACCTGTAAACTGTAAATCTTCGGAAATTGGGGGCATCTCTCTCTCTCTCTGTATTATATATACATGGATTCGTTTGAAATTGGCTACCCCAATTCTAATTAATCGATCATGATCATTTATTCTCACTATCCACATTAAAACGGTCGTTTGGAGGGTATACCCTTTCAGACAAACAATGGATTTTTACCCACCTCCAAGTTGGTTGCAGGCGATGCAACGGCAGATGCAGAGGAGTTGCGCATGTGATGGTACCAAGGGGAGCACTCAAGATTGTGATTCGATCTCACGTTGGGATCTAGACTTCAGCAGGTTCATTGGGTGTTGTGATGGTGTTGTGGGTTGGTAGTTGATACTGAAATGATTGCCAGTAAGACTATGACTATTCTCACATATTCTCACATGTGTTTTCTCACACGGTGTCAAGGAGATTCTTCATTCGCATTCTTCTTGGGTCCTATTTAGCCACCTGCAGTGCTTTGGGCATCTTTGGGGTCCTGTGTCTTGTTCAACCTGGCAGAGGAGATTGATAGCAGTTGGGAGCCCTAGATGGCCATTTTACCCTTCATCCAGTCAGAGGATCCCATGAAAAATCCCCTGGCTCCGCCTGGCGCCTCTGTGAACACATCAGGTGGGCTGACAGCCTTGGGTGCACACATTGAGGCGTGGAACACGTTGGACCAAGCAACTTCCTGTAGTGACCTGGGAACCGAAATGGCACATGATGAACCACGGTATACTTACATATATTTACTATACTTGTTGCCACAGGTTTCAAAGCCGAATCTCCATGAATTTCTCTTTCAATTCGCCAGTGAACTGCTCATATTTGACCATCATTGGGTATATCACAATGAAGAGTATCCCAAAATATCACCCCCGATGCCAAGAAAACCATCAGCCAGGCCACACGAGCTGGGCAAGTCACCAGCGTCTCTAATCGTTCACCACGGCGACCTAGCCGACCTTTGGAGGACAGCGGGGTTGAAAAAATATGGGGGGAACCCCTGCTGGTTGTTCATTTCATGGGATTTGACCAACGCAACTGAGGATTTAATGGGATCGGTAGTTGATTTATGGTAACTAAGTGTGTTATCAAACATGGGAGTGTCCTGTAAACAAAATCACACTTGGACCTTCAGAAGGTGCTAAAACACTAATTTCGAAGCGATTGTTGAAATCACTCAGAGGACAAAAGGTGGGTTTAAACTGGACGCCGCTGAAATCATCCCAGTTTTGACGGGTTCTCCGGCTCTTAGTTGATAGAGTTGAAAACAAATACACATCCAGTTCTACACGCACTTCAAAAGTACACCTTTAGTAAAGATAGACAAATCCGATTTCCAGACGCGTGGAAAATAAGTACACGTGCACAAGACACAGGTGCCAAATGCGCAAAACAAATCGAGCAAAAATTGCAAACAGGAACGCCCGACCCAAAGACCAAAAATGCACGCGGAAGAAGGTGTATTTTTTGGCGGCGCAAGCTTTCAGCCACTTGAATTCCATGTTCCTCATTGCATTTTTGCTTTGGCCATAGCCGTGTGGTTGCGGCAAATTTTAATTCCAAGATGCCTTAGTGACTGTACCAGACTTCGGAGATTTCAATGTAATGACTAACGATATCGAGCGAAGCTAGGGCTAGGGATGACCATCAACATCCATCAACAGCTGGAGCTTTATAGATCTTTAATTACAGTAATATTCTCAAGATTGGTAAACGGTAACAGCTGGAGCTAAGGACCTAATGGGACCTGACAAAAGCCTTTCCCCAGGTGTCGGAGACAGTTTACGTTCGCATTGCAGCTGCGCATGGTTTGAGGTGCCGCTGTTTGAAACCCGCATTTGACGCAGACAAAGACATGGCTGTCCACTGAGTTCAAATGGAATCAATAGTCCAACAATGTCCAACATAAAGGCAGATCGAAGCACTTGCAGTGCTTCAATAGTATTAATAGTCGTTGGCGCTCAGCAAGAACTATCACTATCCTGCCTTGCCCCTTCTATCGAAACTGATTAGCTTTACCCAGCTCCATGCTGCCAGGTCTTCAGTGGAACTGGACCCGTGCGCCAGGACTGATTGTGGTGCTGAAGGAACCAGAGATTTGATCTATTTTTTGTGGGCTCCCAAAAACATCATTCATGGATCAAATATTTAGTCCAAACTGCTGTTGCCCTGTCAGGTACGTCGTTGTGCGAGCTGGGACACAGGAATGGCAAACACCGTCGCGGCGCCCCAGTTGTTGGTTGATTATCGACCGGCTGATGTAGGTCATTGGTTGGTGGCGCAGAAACTTGGTTGATCAATTGTTGGTTAATGGTCAACGATTGTCAATGCTGTTCCAACCTGGTTGTTAATGGAAGTTTTTTTTTTTGGTTGCTTCTTTCGAGATGGTTACAATTGTATACATTTGTATCAATTTGTATCAATTTCTCACCTTAATCCACGTGCATCGTGCATAGTACAGGACGGCTCTGCAGCTGCAAAGATCAAACCAAGAGATGAGCCACGAAACATCGGAAAAACGATGCCCAAGTGCTGTTGCTGTGCCAACTGAACATATGGAGGCAGGGAACACTAAAATCTAATATAAATAGCTATATATTATAATGACATGCCATAACATGCCGTTGATTCCAATGCACCTAGATTTGCTCATGGTAAACGCATTCTTTGATTTGCCCTGAATTTATTCCAAACTTAAAAGAGTGAGTAGGAGAAGCAGCAAGACATCCTAGCCTTCTTTACGATTCTTGTACAGCGGCCTGGGATTTCCCCATGGCGAAACCAACATGAAACCCACACGCCTGGCAGTACCAGAAGGTGCGGCGGAAGATGAGTCGGAGGAGACTGTGGGGTGGACTGGCATCTTTGCCACGCTGGTTCTTTGTTTTCAACTTTCAATAAAGAACAATGATTCAATGATTTCTATTGACTTTCATGCTTTTCAGAACTGATTAGATCTGATTAGTATTCCCGTTTTGTCCCCATGATTTCCCACCATTTCTTGTTGATCCCCATATGTTTGATCCTTGGTGTGGGTGTCTCAGTTCCCACTCCATACTAGTACAGTCACCATTCTGGGTGTTTCTCAATTTCTTTCAACCAATCAATCAATTATATATTATATTATATTATATTTATGATAAACAATTGAAAAAATCGGAGTACCCCTGAATTTTCCCACGGTTTTGCCATGGTTTTCCTATAAAAACTGAAAAAAAAATGGAAGCTCTTGGGGTTCCACCAGGAGATCCTTGCCCTCACCGCCGCTGATGGCCTCGCTGATCCTTGGCATATATGTATATTTACCTATGTTCAGATACCACAAAATCATACAAAATCTATGAGTTGGTGGTTGGTGATAGAAATTTTCAGAACATTTTGGGTGGGTCTACACTGCGCAACATGCTGGAAGAAAGCATCACTTCGGGTGCGTGCTGCCATTGTGGCTTGAGAAGCGACCTGCCAGTGGATGCACTATGTGCTGTTGTCTCAGACTTTGGAAACCCAACACTCCATGGTTTATAAATTGGGGTGACAAAACTCATAGTGTTGATTTATACAATGTTATGTTATATCACATTGCGGGCGCCCGCGAGGAACATTAAATAACTGAAAGCCGCCGCTCGCCCCACTCTGTTATATCATATATACTATATAATATCATATGTAATGATATCTTACAAAATCCTATGGAATATCATATTATACCATCATATACTGTCATCTATTCAGGACTATCATACATCTAAATATATTAATATATATATATATATGGGTATGGATCAATACCTATTAATACCATTTTTAGGAGGATGAACATCCATTTACCAGCTATTTTGATGTTCACCAGGGGTACAAGGTTTTGACACACTGCCATATATGTACAGATATGTGGTTTTCTAGTCCCATCCCGGTCGCCCCATTCTTGGGGCTTGCAAGGCCAAGCCAAGGGCGCGGGCCCAGCTTTCTCCGCGCTTTCTGGAGGCGATCATGGCGCCGGGGGCCAACATGAGCCTCAACCAGGCGAGGAACCCAACAACAAGCGCTGGAAAATGCTGGGGATGGGGTTGAAAGATGTTTTTTAAGGGTTGGAAATGATGTTCTTTTTGGATGGGGATGGAGTGATGGAGCTGAATGTGCCACACAAATCCACAAAAAGGGACACACTGATTATGACAAGTTATACTAAGATACGACATGGTTTTTCGGAAAAGCACCAGCTGTGGCTAGGCTGGTTGGCTACAGTTTGAAGCGGGCGCTCATGCGCACATCATGGCCCAACATTCCACGGAGGAGATGCAAATCATCTTGTACCGTGCCTCAGCAGCGACTTAGGGGTCTTGGGCCCATGGCTACAGCTTATCGCCATTGGTTTTCCCCATACAAAATAAGGAATCAAACAGCTTGGATAATAGCTTGTGGCCCCCGATTTTAGGAAACCGCAAACTTTTGCATAGGTCTTGTTGATTGGTTTTGATTTTTTGAGATCGAAGACCCCAATGATGTTTGTTGCAAGTCAGTATATATTCAAAACGCGATAGTCAATAATATTGGCCAGCTCTGGTATTCAGAATCAACTACTGAGTAATACTGAGTATGGCCATTGTCGAACCGAATTTCGACCAACATGTTACAACTTGTACCATCCAACGATTTTTCTATTTATTCAGACCGACTAATATGCCATGCAGAAATGATGCCGTTTCACCATTTCTGCACGATGTTTCCCATCCCGTTAGGTGGCCGTGATTTGGTGCTGTATGATGCGCATCACCACAGGGCCTTCGCCAGAAGAGTGACCCAGGAACAAGCACAGGTTCTGCTGCACAATCGGAGGCACAGCTCATGCCCTCTCTGCAAACAGTCCTTGAGTGAGTCGTGGGCCTTTGTGGTTGAAGGTTATTGGGAAGCTTGGTGGAAGTAGGCCCGGAGATGTGTTGATGATTGTTGATGTGTTGCAGATGCATCAAGTGAGCCCTCAAGTGTCTGATCCATTTTGAAGAACACGGGCTGACGGGCTGGCGCCAGACAAGGGTACGGGTAGTCTCGAAGAGATCCGAAGAGAACAGGGATGGTAAATCATCAAGCAACAACCACTGCCAGAAACGGAAAAAGAGAGGATGGACCTGAACCCCTTTTGTCATGGATAGCAAAACCATGAATTTCATTTGTGTGTGTCTCCCTTAAATGAGAGTATCAAAATCCTGATACCATGGTTTTCACGCCAAAATAGTTGATAAATGAATGCTCTTCATTGATTGACCCATCCCAATCCTGATGGGCCCATCACCAAACACGTGCCCCGAGGAAACCATCCGAAAAGTCTTCGCTGCAAATGCGGCGGGCGATGAAGAGGCAGCTGCAATTGCACAGCTCCATAGCATAGCCGCCGGACTTTTGAATACAGGTTACTATGCTCGCTTCTTCAAGGAGGACTTGTGATAACTTGTGATAACTTCTGATGATGGGCTGATTGGATCCTGGTATACAGATTGAAGGGGATGTTGCTGCAGTAAACCGTGGTCAATGGGATGCAGTACATCCTGAGATGAGGTAAACATGTGGGTTGTGGACCAAAGATGAAGGGATGAGGTAGCTTCTGAGCGTTCACTAATGCATCCCAAAATAGGCTCTTCAAATCTATTCCAGACCTCAGGATTTTCATGATATTTCCCAATCTTCGGATAACGTGTATAGTACATCATAACACATATAACACATATGACCCATTATAATATATTATAATACCATCATTCGTATTTCAAGGAAATTCCAACATTCCTCCAGATCCTCCAGATTTTTCAGTCGCCTCCAGGAACGCAAGTTGGGATCGGGATCCTTTGGTTCGGTCTATTTGTGCACCCACATGATGGATGAAATCGAGCTGGGTATCTTCGCGGTGAAGAAACTGGCGCTGGGCGATGATGCCCGACGCCTGCGGCAGGTGGTGCGGGAGGTGAAGGCCTTGGAGCCGCTTGGCAGGAGACCATGGATTCCGTGGGGAAAACCATGGGAAAACCATTGAACAACTGGGTCTAAAAAAGGCCCCCTAGAAACTGAAATAGGGATTTTGAAGGATACAAAAAATATCAAAAAATGGATAAAAATGGTGGGTTGAGCACAAAGATTGGGGAGAGAAATGGACGTTACTGAGATCCTATATTGGTTGATTGTGGGTATATCAGCTTCAACAAGTTGAGGAACCTCGAACTATAATGAACCTATCACCTTCAAGATCCCAGCCTTTGAAAGACAGCAGATCCACATTTTTTCGGACTACACTCTGGCCATCGAACATGGCAATGGAATTCGTAAGTGACCTATCCTGCTAAGCTGCTATATCCTGCTTGAAACGCAGGTTTTCCGTTGCCAGTTTAAAGTAGCAGAAGGTATATCATGGTATATCTATGTATATCTCATTTTTACCGTTCCCAGTAGTTCCCAGCTTTCTGTGTTTTTTTTTTTTTTGCTGTGCTCAGGAAGCTCCGTCATATGAATGTCATCGACTACAAGCACTCCTGGCTGGAAATTGATCGGCACTCGGAGCTCTGCCCCTATGTGCCCTTCCTCTACATCCTCATGGTGACTCGGAATGCCTCGGATCAACCGGATCGATCAAACTGGCCCGGGGATTTACCAACGTTGAGAAAGCGAGAAACGTTAAGAAAACATGGAAGGAATAAGAAGCATAAGAAATCATAAGAAACTATTCTACGAATGAGGGATTTCCATAGCTGTTTTGGTTGACACGAGGGCAGGAAGTCTGTAGGCTCGAAAGATATTGACATTGTAGCTGGTACTATCTTGTGTGCAAGTTGTTCAAACGTTTCCGTGATGTTTCCATGATTATTTGCACTGTGTTGTTGAACCTTGGAAGCTGCAAGGAATACTGCAACTATGGCTCCCTTGAAGGCAGGGTTCTCACAAGCCATTCAACCACAGCAATTCGGTGATACGGCGTTCGAGAGTTGACGAGCCAGGCATTATCGTCAGAATGACTGATGATTGTCGCAATTGTACGGAATGATGATCTGGATGATGATGATGATGACGAAGACGACGACGACGACGACGACGACGATGATGATGATGATGCTGGTGGAGGTGGTGGTGGTGGCGGTGATGGTGGTGGTGATTGTGGTGGTGGTGGCGGTGATGGTGGTGGTGATTGTGGTGGTGGTGGCGGTGATGGTGGTGGTGATTGTGGTGGTGGTGGCGGTGATGGTGGTGGTGGTGGTGGTGATTGTGGTGGTGGTGGTGGTGGTGGTGATTGTGGTGGCGGTGGTGGTGGTGATGGTGGTGAAAGTGGTCACAGTGATGGCGGCGGGAGGGACAATGATAATTATTATGATGGAAGCAATGATGCGGACAGAAAAGATGATGTCCCTTGAAAGGAAGCTTCATGATTCAGAGCCTATTCCGCAGAATCTTTTGTTGCAGGCACTGGATTTCATCATGCTCCTTCCAGAATCTCTCACCTGTTCATGCCCCTTGCCTCAGGCTTCATTTGGCACAAGGATCCGGGTTTCATTCGAGGGAGGCCAGACAATGCGAGGAGATCACGGGAGTTGTCAGAAGAGATGATTTGGCATTTCTTCCATGGCAGCTTGGTGGCATAGCCATGGCTGATCATGGCGGATCATGGCGGACCTGCATGACCTTTATCAGCCTGCCTTTTTAGCATTCTTTGCATTCTGCAAGCATTTGCCAGCATGACATTATGAAACTATCTCAAAGTCACCTTGAAACTTGAAACATTTTGAAACTAAGGAACCTGCAGCGGCTTGGATCACCTGCATTGCCGTGGGATCCTGCATATGGATCTGAAACCTTCCAACATCATGCTGCATGTGGATGAGGTTGCTGGTCAAGCCGCTGCGTTTCCACGTCCACTTCTATCGGACTTTGGCACCTGTCAGATGATGGGCGATGTCACGGGAGAAGTTCATGGTGGCTATGCCATTGAGTTCTGCTCTCCCGAACGTTTGGAGAACGAGGAAATTGGAGAGAAAGGAGATGGGATGAAGATGGGTTCAATTGATGGTGTGCCTAAAAGTGCCTCAAAAACCACTCGCTGTCGTTGGCCAGTGGAACAAACGATGTATGTATGCAGATGCATGTAGAAACACATTCAAAACTAAAACTCAGAGCGCATTAAAGTCGCTTGAAGATTTCACATGTTTTAACATATTTTCCCATACCTTGCGCAAAAAAAACAGTTAACATTTTTTTTGCTGGATGATCTGCCTGCTCGCTTGGCGCTTCGCAGGAGACATGTGGAGTGCAGGCCTGATTCTCTACGCCATGTGCTTTGGTGACCTGCCATATCACAGCGAAGATCCGGCAGAGTGTCGACGTCAAGTCGTCAGCCACAAGGCTAGCGTGACGCACCATGGTCACAGAAAACCCAGGATAGTCTGTCCCTGCGGCTTTGAGGGGGCGAGGTCACCACCACCCCTCCCCGGTCCCCCCCAAAGTCACAGGGAACCTTTTAACCCTTACGTGGACATACTTGACTTATATAATTAGAATCTCAAATATCAATAAATATCATAGTTTATGGATGTTTGTGGCCTAAAACATCTTGCACCGACTTAAAAAATGCAATTGATTTTACCAAAAAATTGCGAACGGATTGATGGTTAAAGTTGTCTTTCCATCCCAATCACCACCAACCACTGGATGTTTATCATTATTACATTTATTGCACATCGAAATTTCATATTGTTGCCCAATATCCCCCAATTTATCAACATCTCCAAGACCAAAACCTGTGGAGTGTTACTTGTTTAGTGAGTATCCCATGCCCGTAATGTCCCAGATATTTTTTTAAGATTCCAAAGATATCGAAATACAAAAATTTTGTGAGTATCCCATCATATCCCATCATATCCCATCATATCCCATATATCAATGACCAAAAATGACCCCATATATATCTATCTATATATATATATGTACTGTATGATACATGTTTGTTTTTTTTTTCCCACGGCTGCAGGTTCTTCTGGAACCCCCTCGGGGAGGTGCCCATCGCCGGTCCCGCGAAGTGAGCGAAATCCTGTGGAAGGCCATAGGAAAGCCATGGGAAAGCCATGGGAAAAGCCATGGGGGGTCCCAAGTCTAATATGATATAATATGATCCTATAACATCCTATAATATCCTATATCTATATATTGATCTAGTTTTTTGTTGTATTCTGAAAATCTCAATGTGTATCTTAATTTAGTTGAGGATGGTGATTTTGATGGTCTTTGGTGCGTGGATATATTCATTGAAGCCTAGGCAGCACAGATGAAATGAGCTGGACATCTTTCTTCTCGACTCCTTGATCATTTCCCATCCCTTTCATTTATATAGCAACCCCCATGTCCCCCATTTTAGTGGATCAACCTCGCATTTTTGTTGGTAAAAGAACTGGTTTTGTAAATTTTCCCGTTTTTGTTGGTCGCATCCCAAGTTTTGTAAAACACCACCGTTTTTGTACCAGGGAACCGGCTCCAACCGACTCCATTCGCAGGTGATTTGCATCTTGACCTCCCGCGCCCCCGTGGCTCGGCTCTCAGCGCGGCAGTGTGAAATCCTGGCGGCGCAGCAGCTGGAGGAACTGCGCTGCCGCGTTGCGCGCGGCTCCACGTCACCGGGGATGCATCCACAGATGCTGATGGACTCGGGGATGCCTCAGCTGCAAGATGGTGATCTACCACAGCTTCAAGATGGAGCCTTGAGTTAGGAAGATGAAGAAGATGAAGAACATGAAGAAGTTGTTGGAAGTTTGTCGATTTGCAATCGATCTTTGGATCAAAATATGTCCTACAGGTGCCAGGCACCAGCCATGTAGCAAGTTGGAGAGCAGTCGCACGTTAAGATGGCGTGCTGGCGGCTGATGTTTCGATGTTTAAAATTTGCTGAAAATGGGATCGCTGGGTTTGGCCGGACTGCTGGTGCCGCATTGTAGTCGTCATTTGGCTGCAGAAGATCAAACGCGGCCCCTGAAACAGAGAAATAAACTACAAGGGTTAGACCGCAAATTCTGACACGCAACATTGCAGTTACAATGCGCAATAACATGCAATAACTCTGACACGGTCCAACATTCCAAACCATAATTTTCCATATTAATCCCGTTTGCCTCACACTGGGCTCCAAGCAGTTGACGACATGTTCATGATCAATTTTTCCTCAAATGTTCTAAATATTATCAGGGATTCAACCAATCCTTTGCAAAGCTGACCTACAACCTGTACCCAAGAATAAGGGCCTATTAACCATCTATGTCAATTCTATGGTTGGGTGGGGGTCACCTCTCCAGGGGGGTTGGTTGAATCATGTTGAACCCCAAAATCATCCAAAATCCCCCAAGGGCCGTCGCAAACGACAGCGATCCACGCTGGACGGTGGACAACGAGTTCACCTTTGGCATGGATCCAACCGTCGAACTGCTGGAGATGGAGGCAAGAAGCCAATCCCCGGGAAGATTCTGGGAGTTTTTGAATCTATCTTTTCTCATCCATTGATTCAATAGATCACGAAAGGTAGCTCCAGAGGGGCTACCTTGAGTTTTACTTTACGAAGTAAAGGGGAGGGCGGCCAGCCCCGTTACCTGATTCTTCAGGAGATTGCTAGTCATTTTAGTAACCCCCCCCCCTCCACACCTCCCACGCACCCTAAGAGCAGACTCAAAACATTGTAATTTACAGTATTTTTGTTCTTTTCGGATCAAGAAACCACATTTTGCTACATGGTGAAACCTCCGTAAATACCAGTGTTTTTGCTAGGTGCTGGCCAAAAAACACTGTAAATACCGTGCTTTTTACTACCAGAGGCAAAAACATCGTAAATACTGTGGTTTTGGGCTTCCGACCCGCCAAAAACATCGGTATTTACGGTGTTTTTTGCTCCGAGAGTTGCAAAAACACGCGAAAACACCACCGATTTGACGATTTTCGGCCACTACGGAACCGAGCAAAAACACTGCAGGGGTAACACCAATACCAACAACAACAACACCAACAGCAACAACAACAACGA